TTTGTTTCTGTAGGTGTACTAGCTTGCCTGTCACACCCTTCTGCCCTGCAGTAACCATGCCTCCCCTTATTCCAGTCACCCGGCACTTTTCCACCCCTCTGCTCACCTCATCATTCAGTAATAATCTTCTCAATATACAGTATACTGTATATATCCTGGCCCATTTTGCCCTGCTTCCTGCCATATTATCTATTGTACGTCAGTAACAGTATCATTCCAACAATTCTCACCTGTTTCATACCTGCCTCTTTTTGAATTTGTACTTATTTTGATGATTTTACCTTTGTTGATCTTGCCTGTCTTGTTATCTGCTTACCTGTTGCCAGCCACAGCTTGTTTCACCACTTTTACTAATGGCAGCCCTCACCTATCAGGTAAAAGATGATCTGATTGTCCAAGCTCCCACTCCCACACGGCCCATAGATTTTACAGTGCGATGATGTCACAAAAACAAAACTCAGTTTTCTAGCCTCTGGGAAATTTTTACAAATATGAAACCTCCATGGATTAAAAAATCAGAATACAAAGAGTGATCATTGTCCTGACTTGCAGTTTGAAATGTCCTGTCAACAGATGTCATATAGATGTCTCATTTATCATTTTGGTCCATGGAAAAAAAAATGCTTTTTGGACCTGTGGAAATTTTTCGTAGCAGTGCAAACTGTGGCCACTGGGAAAAACTGGCTGAACAGCTGAATGAGAGCATCATATACAGCTCTCTTAGTACATCCATGGTGAACACGCGAGTGAACATGCAAGTGGAACAGACAACAAGACTAGTCTTGTGCAAGGTTCACGTGAGAGGCTAGAGGCTGCACGTGCTATGCTTTTGCTGTAGACATGACGTGAGTCTTGTTATGTGATAAGGATGAATAAAAAATCAACACATCCTAAGGTTGATTTGTGTTTACTGTAAATGTCTAAAAAACACTGCTAATGGCATTGATTCAACTTGAACCTCCATCCTCTGTCCCTTCTATCTGTCTAACCTTTCAAATAGTTCAGAACAGTTCAATGAGAATTGCACTTGTACATTTCTACTGTGATTCACATCGCTCTAGTCAAAACTTCTCCAGCTTTCAGACCAGTGTACAGTGAATTCCTCACTTCCACACATGACAGTTTGACTTATAGACAATAAGTCTGGTGTTGTACTAATGAGTGGTTTTCTGCTAAGAGGAATGTTAAGAGCAGAAACTGCGGTACATTATGTTATGTTCTCAGTCAGGTGGTTTTACACACACACACACACACACACAAACTAAGCTTTAAAAAAGTCAACCAAAACAAATTAAACAACAAGGTCTATCTATAAACAAATCTGTTGTGGTTAATCATCATAAAAGGTTCTGCCAGAACAGGAAGGGGAGCTAAGGAGCTGTGGCTCGGGTTGCAGAATCCACAACTTCATATAACCTTTCTGTACCTTTATCATCTTCTTTTCAGCTGTCTCTACCTCACACACACTATATCATCACTGTCTTCTCTTTTTTCTTTTTTTTCCTTCTTACTTTCCATCCAAAACACAGATGAGATCATTGCAATGATTTCATTCCAGCTGTTACGGTTTGGGTGCATCTGGTGCAGCGCTACAGATCACAAGCCCATGCAGAGCCTCTTCCCAACCATGTAATCCTCAGCAGCTGCAAAACATCCAGCAAGGACACCAGCTATGCTCAATTACATCTGAATCTGCACTAAGTAAAAGTGCACATGAGGCATAGGAAGAGAAATGTAATACTACTGTGTACTGACTACATACCAGATTAAAGAACAAGGATCTCAGAGTTCCAAAGTATTAACTAAAGTATTTAGACAGCTGTTCATTTCAAATTTTGAAACTGAAAATTGAAACTGTAATACAGATAACACCAGTGACCCTCTGGGGACATCTAGTGGTCAGACTAGTATTACATTAAATGTAATTAGATAGATAGATAGATAGATAGATAGATAGATAGATAGATAGATAGATAGATAGATAGATAGATAGATAGACAGATAGATAGATAGATAGACAGATAGATAGATAGATAGATAGATAGAGACTGAAGCCATTTCTCACTAAAAGGCACAACAGCAAGAATCATGTTTATAACATGATTTGAAGTCATTTGAAATATCAAGTTAATTAAACAACATGAAGTACATTTTTGAGCTGTTAGGAGGCTTAGGATCAGGTTAGGCCCAAACTAGAATATTAAGCTTAATTCATTATCATTATCATTATCATCATTAACATCTTACACTTTTTTTTTAATTTCTAAACATTCAATTTTAAAACTATATTTCTTAGCTACAGGTGTAAGTCTACATAGGTGTTGTTAATCTATAGTAACTTTAACATTCACAAACAAATGCAGGTGACAAGCTACAGTACATCAAGTGTCCAAGGCAAGTACACCCTTGTGTTTTTAATGGTATTTCTGCTCATACAAGCACAGACATAATGCATAAAACCTCAGATTTTCCTCTGTAATATTATCACATCGGACTCTAAGGGTCCAGTTTCCTGAGAAGGAATGGCTGAGCAGAACGTTCTTGTGTGTGCATTATGCACAAAGTACGTATGTTGTGCATGTGACCTCACTGAAAAATAAAAGAGAACATGACATGAAAAACAGTATGGGCCATGAGACTGAGACCAAAAGCTTCATCACTGCATGTTTATGTTGCTGCACAACATCGCATTGCCTACAGTACGCTTGAACATACACAAGGTCATCACTGATTATTTTGGAATTTATGCTTTAGAAAATTACAGTGGAAAGTACAGGGCAGAAGGAAATTCCAGTCTCAAGAATTGATTTGACCTGTGGGAACAAATCAAGATCTAGGTAGCTCAATAAAAAAAGTTCACTCTAATGTCACACAACACAAAAATAAAGCAAGAATGGCTACAGATGTGCAAAAGGGAAGCGAGCAGTGTGCTTCAGTTGAATGAAGTGTACTGTATAGGGCTCGGAATCTTTAATAACAACACAGTTTTGCTGTTTTAGGTAATATCCCAATATAAAAAGTGAATTTGCAATAATTTAACTTTGCAGTTTGTGAGAGTAATGTACCTGCATAACTCCACTCATGTGTTGGTCTGCTCAAAACGTTGTTTAGCTAATGCTGGAAAATCACACAGGAACAGACCGTGAGAAATCCAGTGTGTTGTCTGTCTATCCTGGCTTAAGTCCCATCTTTTGACCAGCTCATGTTTCTGTAGGTTTCTTTTTATTAATGTGTAAGAGAACCATTGTATTATCAGTCTTCCCAGTGTGTCAGTCTTCAGCACGGCCTGGCCGCCCTGTCTGGTTTTCTTCCCGTCCCTGGTTTCACATTGAAGTTTTGTTTCTCATTGAAAGGACAGCAGTGAGTGGTGCTCTCATCTATATTTCATGGCCCCTCACTTATATTGTAGTTTACTTTCTTAAGATACAAAATATACATCAAACATAGTTTTGTCTGTACTGTAAATAAATCTGACATAGTTGCCAAACCTGTTTTGACGTTGACACAACCACCGAATGGCACGTAGGTCTTGGTGACATCACTGTGATACTACATAAATACTGTAACATACTATTTTAGGATGCTTTTATGAATATTTTTTTGAGGAAGTGCAACAGAAATTAAAAAAATAAAACAAACGGGTAAACAAACAAATAAGTAAACCAGAAGCAAAAATAAAAAAATAATTATAGAAATTAATCATAGAAATTGTTTGTTACTGCAAACTATCAGTCTACTAATATTTCTCAGGTACCGTATGTACTCTTTCAACACTAAGCAGTTCATTTAGCCCTTATTGGGAAATTCTTTCTTTTGATGGAATGTTGGCTCTTTCTCTGACAAACACAACAGCAGGTGTATTTGTCATAATTCACACAATAAACACCCTGGTCTTCCAGATCACAAAGCCACTAACATCATTCATTTTTATTGCATAAGCACCTGAGTGCAGAGTGGGATAATAAACCACTGCCAATCCAGCACATCCTATCAAAATCTATCACAGGCTCAACTCTTTCTTCATCATCTATGTTTGTATGAGACATAGTATTGTCACCTATTGTTCAAGACATGGATAAAGAGCCAGATAGAACAGAATGCCTGTATTTTTCATGGTAGCAACAAAATTCAGTGCATCTCTTCAGTCAACACTCCTGTACATTATATGCAAATAATAAATATAAAAAGGAAGTATAAATATTAAAACAAGCATAAATATAAACAGATACTAGAATCAGTTTTAAGTCCACATAAGAATGCCAGTAGTGTGGATATTGCACATTGTAACAACCCCTTCAGCA